TTCATGCTTGGGTTGCCAGATGTCAAGAGTTTAAATGCTCTTATCAGAGCTTTTTTCTTAAAAGGACACATTTATGCCCAGTGTTTCACTTTATCTCCTGAAGTGTTGGAATTGATTTTAGGAATTTCACTGTTTTAGATTTCGAAAGAAGCTTTTGAGTTTTATCAGTCAGGATTATTATAGTCAACTAAAATGGAAACTAAAATTTAAACCATAAAAGAAACCAAAACATTTGATTGAAACAAAAATAAAAAAAGTATTAATGTTAACTAAAAAAAAATAATAATTATATATATATATATATATAAATTACAATTATATAAAAAAAATACTATTACTAATTACTAAATTAAAATGAAAATGGAAAATATAAAAATTAGATTCAAAATAGTAATTAAAATTATAATAATATCTCAATGGTATTAAAATAACACTCTTAAGAGTTTGCATGATTTAGAGACTGTGTTCATTTATATGATCATTTAATAAAACAGGAAACTCTATGAGGTAAAGTAAACAATGTGCATGAGGTTATAGTCACAATATTAGTGCTTAAAGTGCAATAATCCTGATGTAACATCTCAAATGACAACACTCACGATCAGTACTTTTCAGCAAAATAGTTGTGATTATCAGTTTAACAATCATGCAGCATTGTGCATCTAAAATATTACATTTTTATTTACTAAAATTAGATTAAAATTCCTAGACTTCTAGTCAACTAAGACTTGACTTAAAATAACAGGATTTACTGACTAAATATGATAAAGACCAAAAAGGGCATTTGACACAGGACTAAGACTATAATTAAAAAAAGGCGACAATTTACACGAGTCTACATATTTCTGTCATTCTTCTGTAGAAAACAGAAAATCTGTCAAGAGTCAGTCCATTGCTTGTTTACTATATTTCACTAAAACTAAAACCATTTCATTAAAACTTGTTTTACTTGAAATACGCATTAGCTATAATAAAAAATACTAATATTTAAAATAAAATAACTACATTTTAAATTAAAATTAATTAAAACTATATAATTAAAAAACCAAGTAGCTAACTAATACAAATGAAAAACAACACAATTACTAAAACTTTATGGAAAGTAAAAACAACACAAGTCCATTTGACATGTGCACTACATCTTCTGAAGTCAATCAAATATCTTTGGCAAGATTATCAGTGAATAATGACTAAAATATCAGCATATGGGTTTGGAACAACATGACGATGACGATTTTCAGTTTTGGATACAACTTTCCTTTTAACAGCATGCATGCATTCCATTTTTATTTTATTTTTTTAATCTTTTAGTCTCAATAATCAGGTGAGCAACAGTGTTACCCAAATGACTTCCCTTTTAAAGATGTTAAAGAGGTCATATGATGCGATTTCAAGTTTTTCTTTCTCTACCTACAATAATGTACAGTATTTTAAAAAATAATGTGTTTTTTGAACATTAAAGCATGTCAACATATTCTGTTACACCAAATACACAAAATAATGATCTTTAAAAAACATCATATGACCCCTTTAAGATGAAAACATGCAGCACAAGATCCAGCAGCGACTGCTTCAATGTGAAAGTGCAGATGTGAGCAGAAGCAGCCAGACATCAGTCTTGTTGTTGTTGGTCAGGGCTGTTTCTAATCTAGACTCTATTCTTTCTCAGCACCGCTGCACTTCAGCAGAGATGCATGAATTAAAGATGATGCTTTCATAACTCTCCAAAGTGCTGCTTTTCATGCACCGTCTCAGAAATAAGATGAAGCGCTCTTTAACCTTCAGCCCATCTAGCCAAAGTCCAAACACAGCCAGATCTGCGGCTGGAAGCTTTTACACTGGAAATACAATCAAGCGTTTGCCCTTTGGTGATATGGTCAATTTAATGAATTGAGTTGATTATGTTAATTTAGTCCCCAGAGTCTGCTTTTTTTCTTTTGTTTGCAGGAGATTAGGAATGCAGCAGATTACAGTTCATAAGAACACAAGAACAGCAGGATGGCTTCAGAAAGATCACATGACAATCAACGGGACGATTAACGGGAACCAGAAAGTTCTGTGGTTATTTATTCATCCTCATACTGATGCAGACTTTCATGTTCTTATTTGATCAGATTCAGAACACATACAATAGTTTACATTGACCACAAATGTCAAGCTGAATAAAAAAAAAACATAAAAATATAATATAAATACAGTAGCTCTATGTCAGAACTTTTTATTGTAATATATTATATATCATTATATATACTACTATTACAGTTTTTATTCATATTTTGAATTCATTTTTCTTTTAATATTTTTGTTTTCATTTGAATTTTTAGTAATTTGGTTGTGTTTGTCATTTTATTAGTTTATTATGTCTATATATATTTTGTCATATTTTTATTTTAGCTTTAGTTTGAGCTATTTTAGTATATCAAGAACGTGATTGAGTTCGAACCCGCCTTTTGCCAAACGTTTTTCTCCCTTTACAAATCTCATCAAAACGGAAAGGCATTTATTATTAAAATAAGAAATATTGCAATAGTAATATTTCTTATTTTAGTTTTATTCGTTTTTTTTTTTTTCAATTTTATTTATTATAGCAATATAATCATCCTTTGTTTACTTTATTGATACGGTCACAAAATTTTGGCCAAATTGTGCAGCCCTACACACAAGTACAGCAAACCAGGATTTAAAAAATAAAATAAAACTTTTTTAAATAACACTAACAATAATTATAATGAAAGAAAAAAATTCCTACTTTTTTTCCCTCAAATTGTGCAGCTCTAATAGAAAATCATATTCGAAAAAACCCACAAAATGTCCATGTTTTCCATATATGTACACAGAGTGTATATTCCTCAAAATTACCCATTTTTTGTTCCAAGGGGAAAAAAACATGGAAATGACTTGGTTTGGAATGACTGGAAAGTAAATGGAGAGTAAATAATGATAGAATTTCAATTTTTGCAGACTCTGCTTATTAAAACATTAAACCACAAAAGGGTTCTCTGCAGAATTTGAACATTTTGCAAAACATTTTTGAACAGAAAATATTTCCCATGCATCACAAACCATCAGCCGTTCCATTTAAACGTCCACCACAGACACATCTTGGCTAAATATCCTCACAAACTCACATCAGTCCACAACAAGCAGTCCAAGCAGGCCCTTCACACAAACACACAATCGCTCTTTCACACACAAAGCGAACGCAAAGCTGCTGCATGAAATAAAGAGCTCTTCTATACATTTATAATCGGTTTTAATACTGCGTGATTATTTTGGAGAATAAATTATGAGCACTGGACGGTGGCGACGATGCCAGCGAGATCCAGGGGCCAATCCTTTAGGAGGATTAGCTGGGATAAAATCAAGAAAAATCAAACAAGCCAACCAGGTTATGGAGTTTAGACAGTCACAGGATGAAATGAGCTTAACCGGACAGCACTGCGCATGCACACGGCTTATATGTTACGCCACTGTATGCATGGAGGCTAATTAAATCACAAAACACCATTCTCATCATCAACCTGGGCATGGGCTTTATAATGGCCCATAGCAATACATACAGAGTAGAGTGGCTTATGAGTTCATATATAATACAATGACAGACAGAAAGCTACACAAAAATGATTGAAATGAAGTGAGTTCATATACTATAGCAATACAGCACTATATGCTGTTTGTGATATATTTTGTTGTATAAATGAGTAATAAATTGATAATACTTACTTGCGTTTCATCAATATAGTTTGTCTACTGTTGCCACGGTAACCTCTAAATCTACAAATCTGCTTAGTCAATGGATAATGCATGCATTTCTGTTCTTTTAAAAATACTGAATTTAGATAAATACTACGTGAAAAAAATAGTAGCAAACTATAAATATTTATTTCTAAATAAAAATGTGCACATTATATTAAACCTTTCATATATATATATATAATTATTTTTAATTAATAAATAAATTATATTAAAAAATGATATAAATATACTGAATGTTTATATTTTTATAATATAGTTTGTCCATTTTATGTAAATTATATGGGAATAGCTTAAACAATAAATAGCTTAAAGTAAAAAATATATACATTTAGGTACATAAATATAAATATTTTTGAAATTATATATATATATATATATATATATATTAGATAAATAAAAATGAATAAATTAATAGATTAATAAATTACATATAAATAACTACTGAATGTTTATATTTATATAATATAGTTTGTTGCTACAGTAATTTCCAAATCTACAAATGTGCTTAGTCGATGGATAAAGCAAATTTCTATTAATTTAAAATACTGAATTTAGATGAAATACTATGTAAAGAAAAACTGTTTACAAATAAAATATGTATATTAAATGTACATAAAAATAAACATAGTATATAAAAAAACTACTACTTTTTAAAATATTTTATATATGTCTACTGTTACTACAGTAGCCTCCGAATCTACTGCTTTGTCAATAATGATAATGCACAGATTTATATTAGAATAAATATTATGCATATTAAAAAAGCAACACATAAATATTTATCATTTTAAAAAATATGTATAAATAGAATACATTATAAATAAATAATATTTTTTATAAATATTTCAGAGAATATAGTTTGTTGCTAAATGCAGTAACCTCCAAATCTACTGCTTAGTCAAAGGAAAACGCGCAGATTTCGCGCACTGTGAAGTGATTTGACTGTTTTCTGGAGCTTCCAGATTCATTTTCACCATCGCATTGAGCTGCAGCTGCAACATTCAGCATTAGCCCTCAGTAAAAACGCGTTTGAAGGAAGAAGCATATAAGGAGCCTTTCCAGATGCACTCCGCTCTGAATGAATGAAGGAGGAGAGGAGAGGAGAGGAGAGGAGAGGAGTTATCCATCAATTCCCCTGACATCACTCCTGCATGTTTCCCATAGCGCTGACAATCACTCAGTGCGTTATAAACACGTGAAGAAAGTGCATTGGTGTAAATGACTGCGCTGCGTCTCAGACTCACCCTGCTAGTTTGGGCATCCTGACGAAGCTGAACACATCCATGATTCGGATCGCCTCCGAACTCACTTCGATTCCATTCCGCAAACGTCTCGGCCTGAATCGTTTACTAAATGAACGCGTCGGAGGTTTCCTCAAGTCAGCGCAAGGGTCTCCTGCATGGCTGCGCGTTTCCCTCAGGTTTACATCCTTCGCGGCTCCAGATGCCCTCGGCCAACTTTATTCAATTCCCCATCGCGGTGGAAACCGATGGAGGAGAGCGAGATGAAGCGAGAGACTGAGCGGAGGAGGAGAATCTCAGCCGATAGATGCTCCATCAGATCTCAGATGTCCATTTATGATGAATAATCTCGCGACGCGTGCAAAGGTCAGCGTCATCGCGCGACGCGAGACTGGAGGGGAATGGAGAAGCGCGTGGGTGTTCCGTGGAGGAGGATGAGGAGGAGGAAGATATCGAGATGAGGAGTGGGAGGAGTAAAGCGAGGAGAGAGGAGAAAGTTGTTAGATGAGCAAAGAGAGCATAAACACCTGTGCGCGCACGTCCTAATCTCCAAATGCGTCAAGGTGAGACAAAAAAAAATCGGTTTAACCAATGGCGTGAGTTTGGTGCTGGGCTATTTGTTAGCGTGACCAATGGCAAGCGGATTGTTTCAGAAAGCTTTTGGAAACCTGGGGCAAGTTCAAGCTCAAACCGGTGCGCAACGTTTTGCTACGGTTTCCGGTTTGCAAACGGGGTTTGAGATACCTTTTCTCTTGTTTGGTGGGTGTGTCAACAATGTCAGCCCAATCAGCAGCACCATGTAGGCTATATAAACCACGCGGTATTACAGAGACAGCTTGCACAATGTAATTAGCATATAAATAATAAATTCACAAGAGCAAGTATATTGTTTGCACATGTTTATTTACATTAAATGCAAAATAACTGAAATAATAAGAGCACAAGTATAGATCTGGAACTTCTTTAAAGGCACAATATGTAAGTTTCGCGCTGGAGGGCACGTATTCAAAATAAACAAAGAGACAAAGACATAGTTTGATGACGCCGTGACTGAGTGTGGAATCATGGGAGTTTTCATCCCCACAGCCAATGCCGATTGGGATGTTCTCTTTTATTCTGGAGGGCAAGGGCAGTGACTTCAGAGTGTTCAATGCACCACCGTTTCTGTTTAAAAAACGTTTTGCACCGTTTTGTCGGGGCTGAACGCAGCACTGGCATAAGTTTAGCAAATTTCGTTTGGTGACCAGTGGTGCAGCGAGTAAACAATAGCGCACAACTCAATGAAAAGGATATTTTGTTTTTGTTTTTATGAGTATACTGTTGATTTAAAAATTTGGTATATTGTGAATGTACTCATTATATATGGAAAATTCTTTATCCACAAATGTAAATGGGCAGTTTTTAAAAAATAAATCATTTTAAAAACTGGTCACTACCTGTATATGTTAAATTAAACAAGAAATAACAAAGCGGAAAAAAAAGTAAATTATTTTAAAGCCTATTGTTTGAATAATGTGTAACTATTTGTACTTGTTTATGGACATATGATTTCCTTATTGCTTTTCCTATTTGATTATTTTTATTGTCTTTGTTTATTATTATATTTGTTTTGATGTAATTTATATGTTATTGCCCTTGTATGTTCGTTGTTCTAAAAATTGCAATTAAAAAAAATTTAAAAATTAAACAATAGCGCTCAACAGTCTGTTCCGGAAGTAAAAACGCCATTCATTTTCTCCATTATATGACTTATATGACGTATTTCCTGTATTTGGCCCAAGTGTTCAAGTGAGGATGAAGACCACAAGTGTGTGTCAAACATTTAATTACCTGATGGGATACACTTATAGTGTCGTAAAAATGCAAGTGTTTACATAGCTTTATTTTTATTTTAAAGGGGTCATATGATGCGATTTCAAGTTGTCCTTTCTCTTTGGAGTGTTACAAGCTGATTGTGCATAGATAAGATCCCTGAAGCTGCAAAGACTAAAGTCTCAAAACCAAAGAGATATTCTTTATCAAAGTTAAGACTCTGCCACGCCCCCCTAAAACGGCTCATTCTAACACACCCCCACATATCTACCTCACTATGTGGGAATATTTGCATAATGCGCCCAAATGTGTACGCAAAGAAAGAAGACGTGGTTTCAGTAACCGCAGTTAGTGTTGAAGCAGCATGTCAGGGAGACGCTGTGTGTTTCTAGACGAAAGCAAAAGCACTTTATTTGGCCTTCCGGAAGTAGATGCATTTAGGAATCTTTAAGATTACTTACAACAGAACAGCAATGCATTTTATGGACGACCGTTTCGTGAGCCTAGGAGAGGAGGTCATTCTGACTTTGCTATGACAATCTGGCGCTTCTGAATCAGCTACTGTTTTGTTATTAGTTTAAGTATTTTGCTATTGACTGTTCAAATGTTCTCTCTGTCACACACAACGGCGTGCACGCGTGTGTGTGACAGAGAGTGAGAGAGAGAATCACAATGCACTGGGTCAGCTGGCCAATCAGAGCAGACTGCGCTTGTCGGAAGGATGGACTTTGTAGAAAACGAAGCGTTTGAGAGAGGCGGGGCATAGAGGACCTACAATAATGTACAGTATTTGAAAAATAATGTGTTTTTTTAACATTAAAGCATGTCAAAAAAGCATCATATGACCCCTTTAAATCTATTGCATTTTAAAATCAGCTGTTCAGTAGTCCCTATAACATGACACAATTTAATTTGTGGTGCTTCTAATTAAGTGATGAAAAGCAGTTGCAAATGTACAAAATAAATATCACCACAATCCTTGCACCGATAAAACAACACTGTGTTTTTCTACCAAATTGTACTAATAACTTACATTGGAAAGTTTTCCGTGACCTCTCGCGAGATCTCAGCAAAAATCTCACGATTTATTTAAAAGCATGATGCATGATGGGATACACTAAGCCTTGAATAGGTGCAACAAAAAAAACTGCGACAAAAATCGGTTTAACCAATGGCGTGAGTTTGGGGGAGGGCTATCTGTTAGCGTGACCAATGGTAGGTGAACCTTACAAAAGTGCATAACAGTTGGTTCCAGAAGTAAAAATGCCATTCATTTTCTCCATTGAGAAATAGATTTTTAACGATAAATATCGCAGAGAGCAAATCGTGCCAAACGAGTGCTAAGCTCCGCCCAATCCCATAAAGCACTGCAAATAACCTAAGTGGGTCTCCCAACGCTCTCAAAACAAATAAATATTTGTTTTATATTTGTTAAATATTTAGATCATATATAAATAACTGTTGTGTGTGTGTGTGTTTTTTTGTTTTTTTGTTGTTTGTTTGATTTTTGCTTCAAACTAAAGTTTTTAATGCTGCGATTCTCCTTGTAGCTGATTGGTTTGGTTCATGAGGAAAGAAAACTTTTTAAAAATCCCTATGGGAAAAATGAATGGAACCAGCATCGCTGAAAAAGTGGGTGGGCATTAAAGCACTCTATTCATATAACAATGTTAATTCTTATTTCCTTTTTTTTCCATTTCTGTCACCTGATGGAGTTTAGGTTCCTTGCCACTGTCACATTTGACTTGCTTAGTTAGGGTTTAAAAAATACTTAATATTCAGTAATATTATCGATTTGATGGTACTGACAATATCAGATGAGAATAAATGTTAAATGAACTGAGCTGAATAATTAAACTATTGTCTTCTGTAGAACTACTTTTTTAACTGAATCAAATTCCTTTCATAATTGAAAAATTCTGAAACATCACTATTTGACTGAATTGAATCAACATTCAGCTGAATTAAGATACCATTGTCTTCAGAGATGTTTGTAGCTGAACTGAATTTATTTAATAACTGATGAACTTCACATTTTTGAACCAAACGGAATCAACACTAAACTGAAGTGAGCTAACACTATTGTTACAAAAAAAGTCAGCTTCTTCTACTTCAACTTTACTTCTACAAAATGATGAATAAAAAATGCACATGAGGTGTGTTTTTGCTTTATATTTGTATTCCAATTTATGAAGGTGCTGTAAATGTAATCATTATTCTTGCGGAATTTTATAATACGGTCATATTTTGTACATATACAAGCTACTTTTAATGTAAATGGAAAAAATAGTCCTAACCCTAACCAAAAGGAGTTTTAGCACTGAAAATGTGTGCTTTATTAGATAGATCACAGAGATTGTAGAAGAAATATATATAAGAATATTCCTTTTCTTCCTGTAGAAATGCACGTCACATGTGTTTGCCTGGCGGAATATCAAACATATTCATTAACATTAATCTAAATCTGAATCAGAGTATTAAATGGAATCAGAAAGTGGGACGAAAGTCATTGAGGAAACATTATATAATGTGTGATAAAGCAACAAATTCCAGTGTGGGGAAATTATTATTTTTAAGCGACGAAGTATGCCATGATGGAAACCTTCATTTCCTCTTGTGGAAGTGATGAAAAATGACCTTGCAGGTAGAAATGACCGTGCATTGGCCTTCAGCTCAAATCATTACTACATGTGCACACAAATACACACATGCAAACAAAGGCTGCTTAGAAGTCAGTGTGATGGTTGCCTCTTTGTGGTATGTTAACAATATAATTTCTCATAAATTAAAATATTTAATTTCCCGACTAGATACATTCATTTATAATGTACCTAGTTCAGTTATGAACTGAAAAATGTAGGTCTTTGAAGTTAATATAAGAATAAATGAGTTACGAAATTGACATTAGTCATGTGTCACTCCAGTCAGGATAGTGCAAAAATCTGCTATTTCAGTTTTAGCAACATAAGATATATTCAAGCTCTACCTCCAGCTCAAATTTCTCTGACAGCAATAAGAAAAACACTCATACAGTTCATATCCTGGTTATATAAAGTTGCAGAACATGCATTTGTGTGTATTACTGTGAATTGTGTATTTGTTTTATTTTTTGTTTGTCTTTATTGTAATGCATGCGCCACACTGTTCTGATTATGTTTGGCTGCTAATACATCACAGACGTCCCACATGAGATTACTAAAACATCTGTCTGTCTGCCTTTGCTGTGAACTTCAGCACAAATATTACACTCTGAACTGCTGTTCAAATGGAGCATGTTGTTGTTTAAGGCAAAACACCCCATGTAAAAGGGGTTAAACATTTAATTAATAGATATCACCATTTCTCAGTCGATTAAATACATTAAGAAATGTAAAAATTTTTGTATTACAAGTTTTCTGAAATGTTATGTTTAAATATGCAAATAAGGCATTATCTAATGAAATACATTTCCAGCAGATTTTCAGGTTTCAGGTTCAGAATTGTTAAAACCCCTCTATAAAAACCTTCAGCCTGTAGTTATGGTTGATTGCTCTTCGGCTGGATATCAACACACCCATTAACGTACACTACGCCAGAGCTACACACAAACTACACACACCTCACGCACCGGATGCCGTGCGCGCGCCCAAAGACAGCTGGACATAGTGGTGTATTAGAGGTAAAAAATGATATAAATACTGTTCGGTTTCTGGCACAAACCGATCGTTTCGTGTCTTAGGACATCAATGTGTCGTCACGAGCTGCAGGGTTTAATTTGGATTTGTCTGTGCATG